CAACCGGATAAACGAAATGGCCCTGGTAACTGACCAGTGTCACCTCATCAGCTTTGTGTCCTTAATTATCTCCCTTCTCCAAAACCTTTTCTGTTTGATTTCATTTGGTGGCTGCCTGGATGGCAAAGATGCTAGAAGTCTGTCAGGAAGGCCGTGACCTCTGAACTTCCGAGAAGGGAGTCGTATCACTGCCCTTATGCTCCTGTTCTGCATCTGCAATGGGCGGGGCAGTCCACATTTTCAAAACATTCATTTCACAAACTTTCCTGGCACCCCAAACCATGCTTAGGCACTGAAGAAGGCTAACAGTGGCATCTGTCAAAAGTTTCCAAGCCTACACTGCCCTTGATTTTGGCAGGGGAGAGCTGCTGAATAAGGCTCTGAAATGGCAGGTTTCATGTCTGACGGCAGCTGGGCTTTTTAGTCCGTGTCTGGATCCATGAGAGGAGAGGGCCAGAGTGGCAGGCACGTTCTCTGGCCGGAAGGGCCTTTGGAGATGTGAGATGCCAAGGTATGTCCTCATGTCAGAGATGGGAAACTAAAGCTTGACCCAGGAAGGGCATGTGTCCAGACATCAGGCAGGTCAGTGGCTGAGCTGGAGCCAGAATACAGGTCTGACCTTCGGGCCAGCGCCCACTCACTGCCAGCCAGCCTGAGCACACCTTCCTGTGCACATGGGGAGAGTCTCTTCCTCTGCACTCGCTCCCGGAGCCCCTCCCAGGTCCAGGTGGAGGGGCTGCTGTCCCGCAGCATGGCCCCAGCCTCCACTCCTGCTGCCAGCCCTGCGCTCCCAGAGCCCCTCCTCAGGGTGCAGTGAATTCCAGGGACGCGCGTCCTGGGCTGGGCCCATGGGTTGGGGCGGGCCCAGGATCTGCTTCTAATGACACGGTATTTCAGGGTTCAGGCAGCTGGACTCTGTCTGCTCCAGCAGGTAAATTACAGACCTGGCAAGTCAGAAATCAAATAAACACTCCAGCTGCCGGCGGCTGCTCCAAGGAGAACAGTGGTTTCCGGGAACCTTCCCACCCAGTTCAGCCTAATTGCTCCCTGTCACTCCCCTGGGACAGAGGCCTTTTCTTTGGCTCACAGGCCCCAAAGACCTGGGCACATGGGGTGATGCAGACATGGGTGACCAGCCTGTTCTTGCCTCCTGGACACAGGCTGACACAGTGCCTACCTGACCCTGCCTGGCCAGAGGCGACCCAGGCAGCACACTCTGGGCAGAGTGGATCGCTCCTTGGTGAGGCAGGCAGGGAAAGCAGTTCATGTGGACTCTAAACAGCTGCTGGCTGCCTGGAGCTGTCTGCTGAGGGCCTTGAGGGCCTGTCCAGGGTCAGCGGAAGAAGTACTCAGGTTGGTGACTGATGGCCATGAGCCAAGGAATAGATCATGGTGGCATCAGTACTGTGCGTCTGCCAGTGTGGACCACCCACTGTAGCCACTGTCCTTGCTTCTGCTGAGGGTTATTTTTGTCTCAGTGCTGAGCACCGCAGGGCGAAGGGGAGGAAACTGGAAGGTTCTTTGCTTCTCTGGGGAGTCACACCTCTTCCCCACGCAGGAGAGGGGCAGGCCCAGGACAGGAAGACACAAGCCCTCAGACATCCCCACCAGCTTCAGCCTTAAGCATGAGGCCCACTGTTCTTTGTCTAATGTGCTGACTGGCGTCGGGCCAGGTTAGGAACCACTAATACATGGTATGGAGGGCAAGTGCACATCTGTGTCCCGGAAACGCCCAGCATTGTGCTGGGAAGGGGCCAACCCCTGATGCCCACACCCACACCTCTGGGGAGTAGGGCAAAGCCCAACCACCAGCCTCAAGCTCCAGGTGCTCCCAGACCATCCTGGGTTGGACACAGTGAGGAATGGCCAAGGACAGGTCCTAAGACAGGACTTCTGTGCTGACCGCAGTGTGCATCAAGCCAGCCAGGTTGGGTGGACAGTCTATCATACACCCCAGATCAGGGCAACAGGGCCTGGAGAGGGCCGGCTGACCGGAGGTGGGCAGGGAGGGAAGGGAGGACCCTCA